AATTGAATTAGCCAAACAGAATCCTCAGCAGACTCTGACTCTAAAACTAACTAAAGACTCATAATGAGCTCTAGTGGGAGGTATAATGAAGTCATCTGTTGAGGTAAGCAGATGAAATACTAATTTAATAAAATATTTTTTTTCAGAAGTAACAAACCACAAGTCAGAGATATGCCCACCAAAGGGTACAGTCATTGAAAAGTACGGAGAAATATTATTGCACATCATTTTTGTCCCTTACATTTCTGAATTTACATTAGCAGGTTTATTGATATGAGACAGGGGTGCCTACAACTGCCAGAAAGTTGTCATCAGTCCATGAAGTCTGGAATTAAGTGGCCCAGCTATACATTTTTTCTCAACACTGTATGGTCTTCCATGACACAGGTTTTCTAGAGTAATTGTCTGTGGACACCAGAGCCTGTTGGAAGGAGTAGGTGTCTCTTTACTTAAGGAGCCCCTATCATGGGACAAGACTGGACTGTTGCTCCAGATAGCAAAGAGGTCACTTCACAGTAATAGCAATGTGACACAGACAAAAATAAGCATTAACAACAGATTTCCACAGAAGAACAGCATCCTATACAGCATCACAAATTGTAATGAGAAAATAGTACTGTCTCTGTTGTAAAAAAAATGCTCATGCTCCCATTTTCTTCAGTTTTTTACATTTGTTAATAAATTCAGGTTATGGTGATATGTTAATCTGGCATCTCCTATTTATTTTCCTTGCCTTATAATAGCAGCAAATATCTATTTCAGTCAAAAAAATATACTAAGCACTTAACTCTGTGATAGCACAAAGTCTAAAAAAATTTAATCACACAAACAAGTTGAGCATTGAATTTATACAAAGTGATGAATACAAATATTTCTAAATATTCTTTTAGATGCATGAAGAGCCTGACAGGTTTCTCTGAACAATTTGTGATGCTAGTAGAAATGGATTCTTGACAAGACTGTAAAATGACATAAACACGTAACTACATATTGCAGTGACTACCACCATAAAATCATCACTTAGTGTGAAACAGAAAGATTTCACAGATTTTTTGCAAGGTTACATCAAAATGTAACTGCTGAATACCAGGTCTACTAGCTACAGTTTTCCTTCTGTTGTATTTATGATAGCAAATCCTGATAAAAAATGTTGGGATTTGTGATAAACTGTGTAAGCTAAGGGAAATGAATATGAAGCCTTTAATGAGAAGATCTGAACTTCTGCTGACTTAACACATGAAAGACTCACATTGTAGCATTCTCCTGATTTTCTAGAAAATCCACACTTGGAAGCAGTAGTTCACAGAACACTTGCTGTGCTCCTATGCCAGACAGGGAGCCAACAGAAGAGAGGAGTTTCTTCTGAAGTTACATTTTAATTCCTAGATACTCATGAGAAAACCTAGAACATTTTTCCTAGGTGGAAAACTACTATTATTTCTAATGTCTACTGGCTTTTTGTGAAGCCATTAAGTCTTTTCCTGAATATCCAATGCACTTCTCTCACTTGGGAGAACTTCAGGGTCACAAAAATAAAGTAACAATATAAAATAATTTTCTGACAGAAGGCTTCGTCTTAGAAAATGGATTCCATGATGGCTTCTTTGACAAGCATTTATTAAAAGCAACTGTACATTAAGGTCACACACAATATTGACCATCCCACCTGTATGAAAAATACAGACACATAACCACAAGTGTATTTAGCAAGACTTCTAGAAACATATAACCCAAAAGCTACTGTGGAAAGCTTGCAGGATTCATATATTCACTTTAGATTTGCAGAAATTTCTCAGATCATTAACAGTGCATCCAGTCATCAAGGCTTGGGCCCATATTTTTAAATTACTAGAAATTTATTTTTGATACCACATAAAGCCACTTCCTCAGCTAGCATAAATTCTTACAGTGCATTTAAAGTCATGAATGCATGACAGTCTGGCTATGTGCAGTGTACTTGCTGTACTATGTACATGCCATAACCACCACAGGTACCAAGCACACTTCCCTGCTTTATCAGGTCTTCTTTGAATGCACTATAATGTTTTTAATTGGATATTCTACAAGGGCTATGGCAGCTAAACAGAGCTCTGTTGTGTGAGGATGCTCTTTACTTTGCTATTCACAGAGTCACTGAATTTATATCTAAATGCACACCCTGTGGCTATTATTGGATGTGGCTATTAATTCTAGATATTTTTACAGTGAAGAATCCTCATGCAAAAAAAAGGCCAAGGCACATGAAAGGTCTGCCTGAGAGGAATGATGGAGACATCAGTAGATATTACCAGTGGGATGGACTGGGGTCATGAGCACGCTGATTATGTACAGATGCTGTGGCATAATCTTTGGCACATCTAAGTCTCTTCTGTCCATGGTGTTCACTGAAGATGTGTTGCAGCTGGTGCACAGGGAACTGGAGATCATCTGTGTGTCACTGATGCTTGCTGAGAGACTTAGCTATTTTAGCTCACAAATGGAGACACTGATGATCTGGGAAATGGGATGAAGACTGAACATAAAATTAGCATCACAGTGACAAAGGAACATGTTAAGAATATTTCAGAAGTCACTGAAGCTGCTAATTTGTGGTAACAGATCTCCTTTTGCTATTCTACTGGAACAAATACAGGATTAATATTTGTAAATTCATATTTGATTGGGAAGAGAGAAGTATGAGCTGTCAGATTAGTATTTATGCATTGTGGTGGATAGCTAAAGGTGAAATATGTATATGACAGTGTTATCATTTCTTTGTTCCTCATGAAAGTGCATTTTATCCATACACAGTACACCCCTGCTATTTATTATATTTGCAGACAGTTCTTTACTTCTTGCCCTCTCACTGCCTCCATCTCCAACATCATTGCTACATATTTCTGAAATATGTAGCAATATTTCTGAAAATCTATGCGAACAGCATCCAATTAATATGTATGATTTTCTACTAAAGGTGAGTAACTCTACCGAAAGTTTGCAAGAATGTAGAAAATTTAAAGCAAACTCTTTCTACCTTGTTACCTACTGACAAAGTTCAGGCACAACCTTTTATGTGCATCAGTCTTCATCCTTTAGAAGACCCACCAAAGTCAATGAGGACTACATATGTGAGTCCTAAAGTGAGATGTGATCACTCCAAGGGAAAAAGTGGGAAAAGGAACACATTTCTGAAGCTTGCTCCATCACCATTCTCACTGGAAATGATTGTCAAATCTGACAAAACTGGGGGAGACATTTTTTACCATGGGAACAGGCAGAACATGACAGATGGCAAGGTATGAGAGTCTTTTAGTGAGAGACTGTGTCTGAGTACTGACAGATTCCATGACTGAATGTGTTGTGAGGAACAGCCAGCTTGAGCAGTCAGCTTGAGGGAACTGCACTGTGTTTTGCCTGCTAAAAGAGTCTATTTGTCTTTTTGTTTTGTTTTTGTTTTTTTTTGTTTTTGTGCACATCTCAACCAAATCAAAGATATTAAGTAGTATATGGGATAAGCAGGAATATTCTAAACAGCTGATCCACCATGGAAAATTCTGGGTCTGCAAAGTATTTAACCACTAGTGAAAAATTATTATGCTTCCCAGGACAGTCCTTTAAGTGATGAAAAACACTCATCAGCATCAATAAGCTGCAACTATTTAGCACTAGTGAGCAGATGAATTTTTTTACTTGAAAATTATTAACATGTTTTTGAATTCTTATCAGTTAACAACGCAGAGCCTCGCAACATGAAGTAATTATTACAATGCCAAAAACTTCACCGTAATCACCACCAAGTATCATTAATCTGCTAAATCTTCAGAATGTAAAAAGATCAGTAATTGTGTTTAAAATGTTTCAGCTATATGAGTAGCAAGTGACCTCTAGGTCACACCTTCCCTTTCAGAGGGATGGCCAGAGAGATTATGAACTCTGCTTTACAACAGAGTTTCCCTTTAATCAGACAACTCTCAACTTCCAAATAAAGCAGCTTTTGTCAATTATGATTGCACTTGCATCTTTGTCCCTGCAGTGAAGGAATCATCCCATGCTGTGTCATCACCAAGCCTTCATGGAAGTAATTGGAGATAGATTCAGAGAAATATATACCCACTGTCCTCAGAGCCCCTGCTCAGAACTCATCACCACCAGGAAATTTATGTTCAGGGGAAGAATGGACACAAAGTGTACCTTATGAATTATAAATCTACAGTTAACTACAGTCTTAACTTGGTCTTTCAAAGCATCTGCTCAATAGAAAAGTAAAGGACCAACTGCAAATGTAAACGTTGTATACAAGGACACATACAGTCTTGAATGAAACTGTTCATGAGTGTGGCAACAATTTAGCCATGTTTATCACTTAACCTCATCCTCTAAGGTATGTAAATAAAATATGCCTCAATTTATATAAAATTTGAGCAATCTGATTAGATGCATTTTAGTTTGCATTCTGTGATTAAATGTTGCTGCCCTTCTAACAAAAATGCCTCTTTTATTAAACTCAAAATTGCCATCATTTCTCCCCACATTTCTGTTTTGTCAGAATTCACAGTATATTTCAGAAGAATTTTGACTTAACAGAGCCTCTGGACCATGTAAAAATTTACAGAAAATTTGGCCATATTCCATATCTCTTTGTATATACACTTTATATGCACCTCTCCCTCTCAAAATGGCATACATTGAAAAAAAACAGAGTAAGTGACACCTACTGAATTGCTAGTAAAAGAAAATACATCATCAGAGCAGTGGAATTAATTGTTCCTATTTTGTTTCAGAAAACTTATAAAAGTTGTCCAGACACATATACTTGAAATTGCCAACACTATTCCACAATAACACAGTCACACAGCAGTGTCAGAACAGTCCAACTGCTGCGTGTCTTCACAGGCCTCACCATTTCTCTCTACCCCTACTTTTTTTTTTTTTTTTTCCTTATAAGAGAAGAGTCTGGTACTAATACAGGAAGTCAGAACAGCACAAATTCTACAGACATCCTTCACGGTTTTTTCTCCTATGGTTGTCCGTGCTAAGTGCTCACAAGCTATTCTATTTAACAGTCCAGCGGTTTGCTTTACTTTGCTAATCCTTATTATCTTCCACAATATGCCTACAGGATTCCATTACACACACCTTCCAGAAAGCATCCCAAGTTAAGCCAGCAGGCTGAGATTCTAATGCCTGCACTGTAGCATTACAGTAATCATCTACAGAAAGTATTAGAATGCAGATCAACACTGGATCTTATAGAAATCTTACCCTGTGATCAACATGACAATGTAATGTGTAGAGATCAGAAGGCTTTTAAGCATATCATCTTCATTGGATATTTTTACCTGTTAAGAGAGCAAAACAATTTAGGTTTTGAATCTAATCTTCAAATATAAATTATTTCAAAGGTAAAATGAAAATAACCTGTAGTTAAGTATGACATAGAAGAAAAACAGAGGACTTTATCAATCAAAGGTAAACCACTTAAGTCATACAAATTCTCAATTAGTGGGTCACTTAGTGGTATCCAAGCAAAAAAAGCCTGGAATTACCCTTCCTCATCAGCAAAATGATTCCAGCATCACACTTGATGTAAGGACAAAATACGGTCAAAAGTAGTTACGGGCTCTTGATCTGCCCTCATTTTGGTCCAGATCACAAAGGAAAAAGAAAATCAGCAGGGCAGGTGCTCTTCATCTTAAATGGAAAGATGTAGAGAGGGCTGCAGGAAAAGAGGAAGAAAGAGAGTTACTGGGTCCTTCCACTTACTATGGTCAGGATGTAAAGACAGAGAGTTTTCTGCTTCCCACAGAGCAGTCATGAGCTGTTTGCAGGGTGTGTCAGGTGGGTCAGCCAGCCTTTCATTTTTCATCCTGGAAGCACAAGCTACTTTGCCCACCTGTGGGCTTTTAAGATGCATCATTTGTCATTCTGAATCGTGGCACATGCCTGAGCACTGGTAATAACTTGCTTGTTAGCCTCAACTTTCTCACAGTGAAAGGAGGTAGGAAGAAAGGAGAAAAAAACCACCCAAAAACAACAATAAAACACCCCAGCTACAGCTTAGCAAATGTGCTGCAGTTTAGGCATTAAGCTTGAATAGCGAAGTTATTTACTACAAGTCATTACTCATTAGTAGGAATGAATATGTTATTTGGCTTTATTTGCCAAGTAAACTGAGGTGAAACCTGCATAACAGAGGAGTAATTGTCAGAGGATAGATGAATAAAGCATCTAAGCTCAGAGAAGAACTTGCTGAAGAGGGTAAATGTCAGTGATGCTGCCGTTCCGAGCAAACATCTGCTATTGAGCGCTTCGTGTTTGGCCTGAGGGCCCGCTTTTGTTTTCTCAGGCTCCCTAAAGCTCAGGCTGAGGTGGGCAGGGATCCAGGGCACGCCTGAAGCACAGGAGCTGTCAGATGCGATACGCTCAGCTGTCAGCTCTCTCCCAGCGAAATTCACGCAGGGCTGAGACGCGGCTGACTGTGCCGTGCTGAGCCGGATCCCGCAGCAGGGGCTGACACAGGTGGGAAGAGAGAGACAGCCAACACAGCCTGGGACAGCGGCCCTCCGGGGAAGTGATTGTCCCACGCTTTTCTACAGCCCCGCTCAGTGCATCAGATTCACAAAAGCTGTGACAACTCACACTGTCCTCTGCCGGGCCTAGGGATAATGGAGCGCCAAAGGAAGCTGAAAGTTGAACTTCCCAAGGAAGAATAGTGAGGCACCAATAAAGGTATACAAACAGACAGAATCTAGGTATTAAAGGTACACAGAATTTGTTTCCTGGGAGGTAAGAGGCAGTTCTGCCTTGCTTTAGGGAAAGGCCCCCCTGTCTCTTAAGGGGTAGAGTTTTTCAGGTAGAGTTGTCTTGCAGTACTGGGGGGCTGAGTGGGGAAGAACAAGCTGACACACCAGAGGATCCACCTAGAAGCAACGTGCTAAATCCTGAAGAAGGGCACACAGCAGGAGCAGAGAGAGCACAGAAGACCATCTGAGTCCTGAGAGAAGTCAGGGAGTGGCAGTACTCCAAGCATCCCTTCTGCCTGCTTCACAGGAATGCTGCCTTGCAACGCCAGCGTCCTGCTCAGTGCAAGCCACAGTTTTGTCCTTAGATCCTAAGACTCTGGGCTTTTGAAGGAATGCCTCTTTCAGCCTTTGCACCCAGGTCGAGTTCCCAAAACTATCAGCAGCAGGGAGAGGAATTGTGTCTCTCACCAATACTGATGTTCTGCATGTACAGGAGGGCAAAGCTGGATCCCTACTCATGACTGGCAAGTAGCTCAACAGATCTGCCAAGCACTGTGCTCAGGTAGCACTCAGTTACAGAAGAATAGCTATTAAATTATATAATGCTTCTTTATCCAAAGGCAGCAAAATTATTATTCTGAATACACAAAGAATTCATTGTAACATGTCACTTTCTATAGTCTTTTTTTCCTTTTCTGCAACAGGAATGAAAATGAAGCAAAAATGCTAGTTTCATGTGCTTTTCTTAACAATACTTTATAATTAAAAAATGAATTTCAAATGTGATTTAATTTAATGCAATTGTTACAAATTGCACTGTAAATGCTTTACAATTAAGTAATCACACCTAAATGTCATATGATTACTTACATTTCTCATCTACCAAATTTATACCACATTCGTCAAGTGTATATCCTCTTATACTAACATAGAAGTGCACATATTTACCTGGATTTCTAACTATTAACTTTTACTTATCTTCTGGTTTGAAATTATTAATTCAAGTAGAAACAAATATTGGACATTGGAATAATGATGTCAGAAACAAAAGTGCTATTTTCAGAGTTTAAATACAGAACTTCAGAGAGGTGCTTCCATTCCTAATTGAAATATTGTTGTAAAATTGCTATAAAAATAAGAGGAACAGAATTCCTTTTTTTTTAATGCTTGGAAACCTATACTGAGATGTGCGGAAGAGCACCACTGCATTTAAGAAAATGCATATTTTACTCAGTAGACATTCAGGTAGGCATAAAAAAGGCTTTGCAACTTAAAAGGAATGTAGACAATCACTGCAAGAGGAATCACAGCCATTACACATGCTGCTGTATAAATTATAGCACAATCAGCCATGTCCTAAATTAATTTCTGAACATACAGACTCTTTATTTTGCAAGTAATCTATTGCATTCTGATAGTTGTATATGGTGGTTCATTTTGTACATAATTTCTAGCTCTCTGTGAACACTAATCTATGTTTCTTCTGTGTTTTAAATGAGACTGCTACTTCTGTCAATACCCTCTCAAAACTACACAAGAGATCTTACTAATTTTTGAGTTTCATTCAAAACTCATCTTCACTGGAATATATAAGTACAAATAATGATGGAAAAAAAGATTTTTAAAAGGTCAACTGATACAAGAAAATTATTCAAAATTAACCCTTGTGTCTGCTTTTTTTGTGATGCTGTAATACGAAATGGCAAGCTGTAAACACTACCCTTGTGCCCAGCATAGATTTGTCCCTCCTGCCACCAGACAAGCTATCAGGAGGAATAAGGCAGAGAAGTTCTATTTCACTCACGTAGAACTTTGCTCATGAGTGAAAAAAACATCTAAATGCATGTCCAACACTAAATACAGGCATACATATGGGGTATGAGGCAGTAAAAAACATAGTCTTAATCTTGATTCTTCTCACAGTTTAGCAGCCTCTATGACTCAAACCACTCAGAGGTTAACGTATACAAATGGCTAATTTGAAGAGTTTGGCTTTGAACTTTTGAGAATTTTTCTTGGTTAGGCTGGATACTCCAGGTAGAGAAGAAGTGCCATATATATCAGTATAACAGCAAACTTGCATTTTTAAAAATTTAAATAGTACCATTGGGACTCCTCACTGATTAAACTTAGCAGATTGATACCTCCTCACTTTGAATCCTGATCTATCACTCAGGCTTTATGTTGATGTCAAGAAGGCTTTATGTTGATGTCAAGAATGCTGAGGTAAGCTCAGCACTTTTATGCTTTTATCTTTGGAAAAACTTTTTATTTTATAATCCTCTGTAAGAAGGTGCAGATGCTACCATTTATATAATCTACCTTCTGAACAGATTTATTAAGACAGCAAAAATAAGTTTACTAATGTTCTTCTATTACAACTTCCATCAGAACATTATTGCATAACTTACAAAATGTAATGCTGAACAGCCTGCCAGAATCAAAAGAAAACAAATCAATAGCAAGTAAATGAACTACCTCCTCATGCATGTATATACATGTAAATAAATGCATACTGTTTACTCTAAAGATCAATAACAAATTTGGCCCACATGAATACTGGAATATGTATGTAATAACTACACTGTCAAAGGGAAATAATTGATCACATATATATATAGACTAAAATCCAAGCACAGTAGTTTGAAATATTACAGAATGATAACAGCATCCTGAGATGCACTCTGACTTGCATGTAAGTAAAATAAAACATTAAAAGTAATACTCTCAATGTACTAAATATAGTACTGTGGGACTAGACAACCTGGATCAATTTAATATATTAATGAATGCACTAATAAAGCTAACCTTTCAGAAAAAGTTGGAAAAAATGTAAAACTTCTTAAAATTAACATAAGTGTTAAATGCTAGTCCTATAAATCCCTAAGAATCATTATTGGTGGATTTAGACCAGGTCTATGGATCAGGTTTACAAATTACATTTGCCATTACAAATGGCATCCTTCCTTCCCCCACTTCCCTCCCTAGTTAGTTTTGTCATTGTGTTGACAATGACAGCACATCTTGCTGCTGCTTCCAAGGAGCAGTGGAATTTAACCTTTAACCCTAATCATTCCCTGTTGTGTCAGTAAATTGCACATTTCTTTGTTATAAGCCTAGCATGCTTTATACCTTCTCATTTTATCCCTGACTCCATTGCAAAGGTCTCCTTACAGCTTAGCAGTACTGCAGCACAATCTAGGAACAAATGCACACACACTCAGTCCCAAGTCCTGCAAGCAGTGACAGACACCTCTGTATCAAACACTGCCCTGAATGCGGTGACCTCACTGTCCAAGGAAGGAAAGGAGTCCAGGGGAGAAGTGCAGAGTCTGACAGATCTCTGCTCAGGCTGCCCTGCTTTCCTGCCTGAGGAGGAGAATTTGGGCTTTTCTGGCTCCTGTCCAGGAGGATTTCCCCAGCTCAGATAATCCTCTTCACGCTATGGCTACTGCCCTGTGATGTGGGCAGTGTCTATTATGACCCACATGAACAAGTTTATTTTTCAATATTCTTGTGCCAGTAGCTTTGCCTCACCCATCACTCTAACCAAACCTGTGACTTACTGTTCATGTTGGGCTTCTTCCTCATGCAAA